TGAAGTTGCAACACAACATAAAATATGGAACACATATAATGAAGTACTACTTTGGCAGCTTCACATCGATAGCTCCATATTTGGGGTTCGTTGGGTTTAAAATATTCTTCTCAAAAGAAACCATGCTTAATATTATTAAGCTGAAAGTTTGTGAGTGTGAATGTTTGTTACTTCTTCATGGTTACACGGCTGGAGCGATTTTAATAAAATTTGGTAAGGAGTTAGCTGACACCCTGGATTAACACATAGGCTACGTTTTACTGCGAGAAAATATCTCTAATAAACCGCTGGTTACACCGCGGGGCACAGCTAGTAATATATATAATAATCGAATACGAACTACACGTTATCATTTCACTGCGTAAATTCAACATTGAACAATTCTTTATTTCTTTCTTATTACTCTTTTTGTAAAATTAACATGCAACATTGTATTATTTTTTAAATGCCTACTAAACAATTATTAAACTTTTATAGAGATTTCTGTGAGCTGAATCTTTTTTTTAAGTGATAAATCTTTAGAGCAGCAAAAACACTTTCAGCAAATAATATAAATAATTTGAGTGGGTGCGTTTAATCTTCTCAAAAATTGATTCGAATCGGCGATTTTCAAATCAAGACAAGCGTGAAGAGTAAAATTATCATTCAATAGACATTTGAGTGCTACTAACCTGAAATAACATTTTATTACGATTTCCCATAAATCTGTTGCGAATTCGCCACAATGATTTATAATAGATTTGTGAACAGAAACTACACGCGTAAATAAAACTAATCGCTAATAAAAGTTGTTTTTTTTGTAACGTAGTTTCTGAAGCACGATTTCTAAGAAACATAATATTTTAAGTATGAATAAATAGGTATGCAATTTTCCGGAAAAATCCGAATTTTCAAGAAACTATCCGAATTATTTATGCTTATTTATGCCCAATAAATAACAATACTGAATAATGATTGCAGTTATATTTTCTCATAACACTGAGAAATCTCCCCTTAATTTTTTGCTTAATTCTACTTTAGTATTAACTGCACTGCGGACGGAGGATTAATGTTCGGTTACACATCGGTACCTCTTCCACTAATGAATATTTTGTTTTGACTTTGACATGACCAAAGAGTTCGGCGGCGCACTCGTCCTTTCTTTTTTTATTTCGTAGTGGGAAAGCTCTTGATCCTCTATCCAGCCCGAGAGCAGAAAGAGCTTACCCAGAAGGAGTCTATTCACTCTGGCTTTAAAAGAGTCGAATTATGTACTCGGAAACACAGACGCAGGCAGGCAATTTCACTCCTTTCGCTGTGCGTATTATAAAAGTATTACACAACCAGGACTTCCCTCTGATTGTAATGGAAGGTGACTTCAGAAATATCTCTGAAGTCATTTTTCAACTTGACGACTCTGTATATATCAATACAGGGAGAAAAAAACAGCCCTTGCTGAGTTTCTTGCCGGTTCTTCTCAGTACAAGGTCTCCCGCCGTAATTTTGAACCGATGGCGTAGTTTCTTGACATTCACAAGTGCTTGTTACAGCCTAGACTGAATAAATGATTTTTGATTTTGATTTAGTTACTCTCAGTTTTCACAACAAGGACATTCTTCTTGCAACTTTTCCATCATAATTAGCTGTAGGAGCACGTATCTGGTCATGCCTAAGCACATACTCCAAAAAAGCAAAATTACGCTGTTAATCAGTGCAAAAGCTGGCGTTTTTGTTGACCCGGTGGTCACTAAATGGTCTTAGTCAACTAAATGAGTTAAAAAGTGGCGTAAATAAAAAGGAAACCGAATTCAGGTGGGACGATAGTAATGCAGGATATAAATGCTGCACATATGAATAATACGCATATACAAAGATGGGATGCGCGGAGGCGGAGATATGTAGACCATTGTTTAATCTGTGGCTTATTCGTTTCTGGGTCATCTGTTCCATAAACTTCATTACTCTACATATACAATCTTAAATTAATAACAAACTAGCTAGTATTTTTGTAATGTTTTTAAATATTATAAAACCATGAATTAGCGAGTGTCGTGCAAATCCGGGGTGTTTGTTAGTTTTATCAAAAGAAAGGAAACAAAGCTGTGTATATGTCCAGCATGCATTAGCATGCGAGTAGTGTTGACTGTGTACAGCCTTATTTCTTATCAAAAAGAAATTCCTTGTTAAAGTTATTTGGATTCCAATGCATATAGATCATTCATTACGATATCATTTACGATATTACAAAAACAGATTTAAACTACTTCTTTTTTATCGATAGGTCCGATAAATGACTCCACCCCACCCCATGTTAAGTTACAATGAAATCCAGACGCTTATATATAAACTTATTATATACTTACTTCTACATACTTCTGCTGCAAATCATAAGAAGAAAATCATTAATTTGATGGTACCTACGTACAAGAAAGTTGTAAATCCGAATCTCGTTAGATGAAAGAGAGCTGTTTGCTGCCGCAAAGAAACTTGAGAGTAATCGTGTTAATTTAATTTCAATCAGCGCGGTTTGAGTGTTACCGAGAGAATCAAATTAAAAGAAGGTGTTAACAAGTCTCGATTACAAATTAAACAAGCTGGATGTCAGCCGAGCTGTGATTTAAGATGAGAGAGAATCTAATTACATGGACTCTTTCCGTAGCCCCTTAATTGAAGACTCGGTCTCCAACCCCCCCCCCTTTCATCCTGTTTGCCTTGCCCCCCTCATCGCGCGCGGCGTCGATTACATTTTTTAAACATTTTTTTAATTCCGTTCAAGGTTTTAATTTCGTTCGCGCGTCTTTTCTTTCACGCTCGCCCGGTTTTTTCCTATCCGTTCTAGCGGCGATATTTCTCGCTGCCATTATACGCCCCGTAATGAGATTTTCTTTCATTATGTTTAATCTCCCGATTAATTCAAATGTTAATCTCCTCTTTTCACGTTGCCGTTTTTACGGCTGAAACGTTGGCGGAGCGAAACGGTCGCTCGGCGGGCCGAATCTCTACGCGGTTCGGGTGCGACATTTAGAAATAATTAAGAGACGTGAGCGGCGGGTGGCGCTGGCCGTGTCGCAGCCCGGCACGATTAGATCGTCAATAATTTAATTCGTTGCAAATTCAAAACGCCGGCCAGCCCCCAGATAGGTGCGTTCGGACGTGTCCGGAACGCCAATGGCGACTACGAGTGGGCAAATTGAAAACACCTCCGGCGCGGCTGTAAACACGTCACGTGATTTAGGTTTTAATCAAGTAGGGACGCACCGGCCCGCCGTAATTGTGACAAATCCTCTGTTTGTCCGGAGGAACTTTTAACTCGGCGCCGGAACGGGGCCGTTACGGCTCTTCGCACGTACCCGGCGGAGGGAGGGAGGCGCTTTTTTGTCGACACATGTGCTCCCTCACACTCCCCGCCTTGGGCTCTTGATTAATTTTTAATATTTTTTCTTCCAGTTCACGTACGCAATTTTCACTTTAGCGCTTAGACAGCGTCGTTTTGTTTCTCTAGGCCGTGCCGTGACGTCACGTGCCTCCAGTAAATATATTGAGATCAGCGCTATTTAAACAGTGCCTACAGACGATTGCATCATTTACGACCGTAAAGTTTTTATCTACTTACCGCTAATGCGTGCTGTTCGCCCGCGCTACACCTACATAACTCATTAGTGAATTAGCAAGACTTGCAATTGTCGCATTTAACCAGAGTATTAAAGTCGACGGTGATGAAGCCGTGCAGACGCGGCATTCCCTTCACCGGCTCGCGATACGCATAAAAAAGTGACAGCGAATATTCTGCATTCAGAACGTGAGACATATTATTTTTATTTACCCGCCGTGGAGTTGACGAGCACGGTATGAGCAGTGACATTATACAAATCAGATGGCATTGTATGGTGATCGGTGTGCATCTGTTAAGTATTTATAGATGGGGACATCTCCTTTTCGGTCTAATAGGCTGCCGGGCGGGTCGGCCGTCCGCAGTGGACGAGTGGCGAGTCTGCGGGAATGTGGCTCGCGGTAATCTGTCGCAATTATAGCGTGGCGCATATCCCGATTACGGCGCGACGGCAATTAGGTCGGCGGACACACGCGTTAGCCTGCAATGAGGATACGCCTAAACACCGACTCGTTGTGCCAAAACGTTATCCTATTAACGAGCTAAAAGCTTAATTGAAAAAACCTCTAACGCAAGCGAACGGTCAGCGCACACGTCTCCCCTATTTATAAATCACATCCGCGCTCTTTGTAAATTCACCTTAGAGGCTCACCCTCTCGGCGAGTTCAAAGAGTGCCGCCGCCGGGGCAATGTCCAAATTATAAATTCGCATTAGATCGGACGCGCACGGTTCGTTTACCATTTCATTTTGCTCCAATATCGCCACTCTACTTTGTTCCACACACTCCCCTCCACCCTCGCCCACCACCTTAAGACGCCGGGAAATATCTGCGTTTTAAGCTATATTTCTTTCATCCCTCATTTTTGCAGTTCGTAGCAATCTGAAATCCAACACGTCCCCCGCAGGGGTCCTCGGGGTGGCAACCCCCTATTCTTGTACCCGGATAAAAAAAGCGATATCTATTTATAAAATGTACGTACGCATGTGTGGACGGGATTAGCGCGTGTGTGAGTGCGGCGGTGGCGGCGTGTGGGTCGCCCGCTCATTTGCAAACGTCTCCGGAGATAACGTCCTCCAGTCGGTTATCCCGTTCTTATTGCCTCCTTCTTTTCTTGATTGCTGTGTGTGTGGAAAAGTTTAGAGCTCCGTCATTGATGGGAATTGATTTTGTCTCTGCTACGAAAAAGTTGTAACACGTCGTATAAATCGAAGTAGATGAGGCCGTCGTTAGAGACGCGAATGATAATAATCGGCGACAATGTCGCGAGCGGTCGCTGTCGGCTGCTGGCGAAGCGCAATCCAATTTCGTTGCATAACATTGTTTAAAAATTTAAAAAGTTAATCCCGGAGAGCATGGCGGGATGGAAACTATTCTAAATAAGTAATTGGGCGGGCGCGGACCGCTCACGTATGAACGTAATTATAAAAATTGAAGGCCACTCCGGCTCCTTGGGCCCTCTCCCTCGGTCCCGCGGCGTCGTGCATTTTTTCGTACATATTAAACCCACCCCCCGCGCCCGCCACTTCACCCCGCGACTCCTCTTTTTAATCGATTTTCCCGACACAAGGGGTGAGTCCTCTGGGGTGAATGTAATTTTTTATGCGTTTTTTCCGACGGAGAGCGTCGCCGAAGGTGCCATTACGCCACGGCTTGTTGAGAATATTTTAATTATAACGCATTAGCGCGTTTTATGATAGCACTCCCGCTCGAATTTAGAAACGATCGAGTGCTAAAGTAATTAAATATTTGAATGCGGCGAGATTCCCGCCGGGAATGAGAGGAAGCAGGATAATGGAGGTTTCAAGCGCTAACATGATGGATATAATATTCGATGGCATTATTGGTTAATGGCCGCCCGAATCACTCTTGGAACGAAATGGTATTTTTTGTCTTTCCATTTAATAACAAACTCCATCTATCACACCTTATATTTCACTTGTATAACGGTGTGTGTAATGTTTAAAATACGTAAGTGCATAAATAAGTAAAGGTAAAATATTGTGCAATATTTTTTTAACCAATTATGTGATTATCATAACATACCAATATAGAGCAATAAAGGCAAAATCTATAGTTAAATTCCTAAATTCATAACAACCATAGCTTAAGTTTGTATTTATATTGCAATGAACATTAGCATTTTCTTTTTTCCAATCTTGTGAGATAATTATACGGAGGAAAATATTTAAGAATCATATCGGTTCTTCTCAGTGTAAAATCTGTTTGCAATCAAAGGTAACTTTGCTGTTTTCAATTATTATTTTTTATCCGTTATCTATAAATTGTGAAATTGCATTTACATTGTGAATTTTTAGTATAGTTACTTTTAACAACCGTTATTTCTACCGTATTTTTTGTTATTTTATCATAAAAATTTTGCTTTACATGCCTTTGAAAGAAAATACATATTTACGAATTAATTGATTGACAGCATAATATTAAGCTTGAGTAATAAATTAATCAATTCCAAATAATTATACTCATCAAAAGCATCTAAGTAACATGAACTTTTGACCGATTATTAATACTTTTAATACTTATAATCGTTTGTTAAAAATAACCAGTTTGACTAATTTGAGATTGAAGTAAAAATATCTTTAAATTAATTATACATTCTTTTAACAATAATATAAAATATCATCTTGCAGTTTGCGTAAATGATGCGTGTTGCTTAGTTTTATCTGATGTGTGTGTGCTATACCAAATATTTAGTCCAAACCCAGACAGTGACTTTACTTTGAATTATAATCAGCCATATAATCCAACGCAGGCCCTAGGGTAGAACGAATGCAACGGTCGCCACCAAATAGCAAGGGACGCCCAAGAGACAGAATCGAAAAAAAATCGCGAAAAAAATTTACCTAGGCGTGAAAAAAAATTTTTGCAGGCCGGTGAGGATGGTTGGTGTAGCAGTTTATAACTGCTGTACCAGCTATCTTCGCGTTTGGACTTTATCACCACTTAATATCAGGTGGAGTAGAGTCATTTGCCTACCTCGCTATAAAAAAAACTTCAAACCAAAATGTCGACCATGAGGTGCAATATCTAGCACATGGATGAGACAAACAACGACCCGTGGGCCTTCACCGGCCCTCGAATGGTTGAATCCGGCCCGCGACCATCAAGATTCTCACCAAAAAAAATCACATGTTCTGACAAAAGGACCACCCACTGCTGAACCTAGTTTATTTCACAGCAAACTCATTAGCAGTATTTACTGCTGCTGAGCTATAGGGCATTCTTTACTGAGCTATATATACAAATTATAAACTTGGCCCGCTATAGATTCTCATAGTTAATATTTGCACGAGAAGGAAAAACTTTGCCCATACCAAATCTAGCCTCATCAAAGACTGCCCGGTGCTGCTATAACCTCATACTAGGCAGCAGCCTTCCCAATCGAAAAAATGGGAGAATGGAATAGACCACAACTAATTAATGAATATAATACAAAATAAAGTAGCATTCACTTTATAACCATGACGCAAAACAACCTTTAGAGGTAAACCACCCAAACCCCAAATGGCTTTGGCACGGTTCAAACCTAAGGCTTTTAGTGCAAAAGGCGGGATTAAGCTGCCAGTGCACTATCTACTTACATAAACAAAAGAGTAAACCACTATCAACTCATCTGAAAAAAATAATATGAAAACTGAATTTTCATGAATCTTTTAAGCATAAAAATGTCAGACTTTAATAATATTTAAAGAAAATTTTACTGGATAATTTTCGAAAGACCTTGTAGAGTTTTCTGTAGTAAAATTTTCACAAGGTATTTCTTTTTGCCTTTTACTCTTACGTCTCCAATAAAACCTCTTCACACTAACTAGAGATGTTAAGACACTGCGGGTCATGTAATGTAGCAACTCATAATTCCATTAGGTCGTGTAAGCGCGTACAAAGCGGATTGGTGTTATTACACAGAGGCGCGCGGTGCAAAGTGACTGACACCTAGGGTTTCACATGACGACTACTTACAGCCTGTCCTGGCTTATGCAAAGGTGATTAGGAAGTTTCGCGAGCGGACTGATAGTGCGTCACCTTGAAACGAGATTCACAACATTTTACACTTTGTTAACCGCTGCTGGTGCTGGGCACAGGCCTTCCCTATGAAAGGAATAGGGAGACTGGGCCGTGACCCACCACGCGGGCCCACTGTGGATTGGTGGATGCTAACGACTGCAGATGCAGCCGGGACCAACGGCGTAACGCGCCTTCTGAAACACGGAGGAGCTCGAGACAGTGAAGTTTTGGTCACTCATCCAATGACCTTCCACTCCGCAAGTTGCAACTTCAACGATCGCAGCCGAACGCGCTTACCATTTGCGCTCCTCATGCTTTGTTATAGTTATATACATACAAAAATTTAAGAGGGGTAGTTAAGTTAAGACATTGGTTCTTATATGAATGGACCATATTCGTGTTTCTTAATAAATTATTGGCAGTGATTATCAAGAATAAAACTGCTGAAATAGAAAGTCACGGCTTTGGACTTTCTATTTCAACTAAAATGAATACAGTGACGGTAAACTTAATGAAGATACAAATTATTTATTATACAATTATGAGATAACAAATTTAATATCAAAAATCAGTAAAAAATCTTCAGCAGTGTCCGAACTTCTTTCCGTCTGCATTCAAAATTCGAAAGCCCGTTTAAGCAAAAAATATTGAAATCTTTATTACAAAAAGGTCCGTCGTTCACCTATGGCATCCAAATCAGAAGGATTTCTGTAATATTTTTAAATCAAACCAAACTGTTTTAATGCAAACACGGTCAGTGTTTGCATTAAAACAAACATGCAAACACTGACCATCGACGAAAAGATATCAACAAGGCTTGGCTCAAACCAGCTCTGCAGGTCATCTAAGCCGTTAGTCTAATTGCCAACTGTCCCAGCCGACATTGACGGGACGTCCCCGTCTTCCCGCCTGTCCCAAGTGTCCCGCACGAGAGAAGAATACTGGAGCCTCATAATGCACGCCAGATTGAAACGCAGATACAGATTCTATGGAAATCGTTTGAATGCTCGCAGGACCTCGCGGATACCAGCTAACAGTTCGGTGAATCGTTTGCCAGCAATAATTCTAAGTATGGGAATAACTTGGAACGGTTTACATAATGCATAAGTTTAATATTCCCCTTTAATGCAAATAAAATAGAATTTATTGCTCTGATCCTAGGATACGTAGTGCAATGTGTAATCAGTGTCAACAATAGTATTATTTACCACCTAAGAAAGAAAATAATGAAATCTCGTTTTAATTTTCTGCAAACTTTGTAATGAAAACTCCCCCACTCTTCCAATGATAAAATGTGCTTCAAAATGGCACGAACATTTGTACTTTTCGTAAATGCTAAAATAACACTTCGCAATTAATCTAAATAGGAAAGAAACTCAAATACCTACATCGAAAACGAACCTTATTCGCTCACACTACGCTCTATACACTCAGGGCACAAAATAGATAGTGCAGAAGGTAATCTACATACAAACTGCGTTCGAGCAACGCACACAGAGACACCGCTCACGGACACGATATCTCGGACGACTTCTGACCACTAGGAGCGCAAGCTTTCATTCCATCCGCTTGAGACACGCGTCTGTAATTGTTTTTTGCACAAAAATGGCACAACATAAAATAATAGAGGTTATAATTGTTCAGTGGTAAGTTGTTTGAATTAAACATAGCACGGTTTTCGTTTTTGTATTAGTACTCAAAATAACAATTGTCTTAAAATTTTAAAACTTTACTTATTTTATTAATGTTTATATTTCTATTCTTTCTGTTTCGTTCTCAACAATAAATCAAACAACTAGAAAAGTACGAGTGACTGTACCGCATTTCTTTTTGTGCAGAAGTCAAAGTTGATAATCCTGGCGCAACCTCCGAACGTAGGTATGAAAAGTGAAGTACATACATGAGATTACCTTCTGTACTATCTATATTGTGTTCAGAGTCTGTCAACTCACCCAAGAAGCTTCCCCATCAAATTGACATAAGCGCCTCCTTAAAGAGCGAAAGAGCGAACAAGGTCAGGCTGCGATCTAGTTTAATTACCATCGATCACGGATGTCTGGATGTCGTGTATCGCTCCGTCGCCGGCCTTAAGGGCTCAGGATGAGATCGAGTAATTGATGTAGTTAATATAAGCCGACGACCAATGATGAGAGATCATCAGGATGTTCGGCGAGTTTCAGAGCTTCGACTTGGGAGCTTAATCATTGTAAAAGGGTGTTATTATTATTTTATTTATTCGGTATACATAACATATTACAATCAACAAAGTACTGACTTATTAATAATTGACGAATCGATCAAGATTGCAACACTTAACATGCATACACAAAAAATTTAGTTATATAAAACAAAGAACGATAAATCGATATTAACTGTTACAATGCATTAAATTAAATTCATTCAAATAAAATCATATTTAATTATCATAACATCACTATATCAATCATTTTTAATTATATTTTTAATGATTACTTTTAAAATAGACCTAATTAGTTTTGAAATTGTGTATTTTAGTAATAGCTTGAAATATATATCAATTAATTATAATTATAAAATCATTTAGAAAGACTAATTGGAATCTAATAATGCCTATCTTTATATATATAATTCTTCTGTGAGTGTGTATGTCACTGAACTCTTAAACGACTGGACCGATTTTGATGAAATTTTTTGTGTGTGTTCAAGGGGATCTGAGAATGGTTTAGATTCACAATTTTGTCCGCTGGACAATGTTTTTTTAATTAATTTTTAATTTATTAGTAGACGAAGTTTGCTGGGTCAGCTAGTCTCTTTATATGACCTTACAGAAGACCACAGTAGAATATAACTACCTTTTGGAATTGTTGTATTTCTGTAGGTTCCAGGGCTCCACGGGGTAGGGGATCGGGTCAGAGTAGACTACGACGCGTGATGTACTCGTATATCATTCATAAATTTTAGCTAAGAACAATGTGAGATGGTTCTTAGCTAAAATTTATGAAGATCCGTTCAAGGGTTGTAGATCATGAAGTCATTTCCCATTTAAAAAAAGGGTCTTAAAATTTCATAGTTATTTTGGAATTTGGTATACTTTTACTTTGCTGGTATTGCCAAAACCTTTAAGTATTCAACTCCTCAGCTACTTCCAACAGATTTAGCATATTTGTACTTAAAAGAATGGTCTCAATGAATAAATGACAATGGAAGCATTGTTTGTTGTGTATCTCTTAGAAATTAAATAAAAATGAAATAATATTAAAAGAAAATTTTAAAACTGCTACTCATTGATAATGTACAAATTTAAAAAACAAAAGGTGTTGGTCCTTTAATAGTTGGACTCAAACATTACCAAGCCGGATCACCAAAACCGCGATTAGAAAGAGCACCGCATAAAAAAAGTTTTTTGAAATCTTATACTTATAATAATAAAAACATACTTGTACTTGGTAGGTAAAACAAGTAGTTTTGCGGTCCCCTGACTTGGCTATATCTGGTTCTAAATATTACAGGATCAACACTTTTTTAACTTTTTTTTTTAATTTCATATTTCATTTATTAGATTAAAAAAAAATATATAGAAGAAATCTTGAACGTTTTCAAACGAGGAATCGTGTTGTCACCAGTTAAAGCGTAATTTAAGCTGTACAAAGCGTGCGGAAATCTTTTATACCATAGCCCTAGTCTAATAATAGCATCCTTAATGAGATGTAAATGAGCGAAGAAATAGCCGCCTTCGGTCGCGTTATAATAACGCGTAACGACCTACAAGTCCGGATTAAGAAGCCTTAAAACCTGACCAGTGGGTGAAGTGAGCGACCTGAGCTCTGCATCACCGGCACAAAATAAACTCTATATATTAAATATTAAAGTCGATAATACACTGACAATTTTTAACGGTTAGGTGCTGTGTGGCACAATAGTGTGGTTATTTTGATACTAATTGGCAGAAAGGGTTGCGAATTAACGTCAGGGCCACGTCGTCGGCACAAAGCCGACGAAGCTGGATAAATACTACGTCGTATACAATTATACATTCATAGGGTACTGGATTTTCTATAAAATTATGAATATTTCAAAGTTAGCATTTTCAAATTCATGTGCATTCATTGAATTTTAGTTGTTTACTTAGTATTCCAAAATAATGCATAACGATTGATAGATATTATTCGAAGGTGCTTGTTATTACTGGGATTTCCATTATTTCATATATACACATGTTCATCATTGGTATGTCCATATTGTTTAAGCGTGTAGTTCGTAAAACCAACGTTACCTCAATTTAAAAAGTGGAATAAATGAAATGTATTTAAAAATATCAGAGCTCGTCTAGCTTTTGTTACAAACATACGACCTACCATTTTTGGGCTTGCAGCATATAATAGGCAACTTTTCATACAATTTGACCTTTAATTCTGTACCGTCAAAGGTATACAACGCGAACGAAAACAGTTGTGTATTTTACATATGGCAATCATTAGCATATTTGGATCATGACATACGTAGAGTATCTGTGGCCAATGGCCGTCTTAGCTCATTATAAGGAACTCAGGCGACCAATCAGAGGGATTGTTTGCTTGATTGAAAGCTGCGTTCCGTTTCGCACGGGATTATACAGATCCCAGAATCAGATTAGCTGGGACCGCGTCGAAGAACACTGCCTACTTCGGCTTATCTGGAAGCTGCTGATGGCAGATTAGGCTAGACCTTCCTAGTCGCAAATTGGACACTGCAACTAAGTGGGAGCATTGCCACTATTCTACGAAAAAGGTAGTGCACATTGATAAATAAAACTAAATAAATTATGATAAATAAAGTGTATAAAATTTATCATTTTGACACAGTTTGGTGAAAAGTAAGCAAGGCTTTGTTACTGAAATAAGTAAATACCAAAATAATGCGATTTTTTAATAATAAAAACTATTCCTGTCCTGATCTCTTGCATTGCATTGTCTTATGTCATTTAATCTGTAATTCAATCATACCAGTTTTTGATACCTGTATGTAATAAACAACCAAATAATAAGATTCGTTTATGACCCCACCAGCAAAGACAGTCAAAAGTATAAAAGAACAGTTTTGACTTAGTAAAAAGGTTTAATAATCTATAGGATCTGAGCTCCATTATTCTTTCAGTTCGGTGCTAACCCCACTTCGGACAGTATAAACTGGACTCGACTCGGGAGCTATGTATTATGCATTCGTGAATATAAGTCGCATAAAACAGCCTCCGAATCAATTATAGAGGCGGCCGAAGCTCGTTAGAAACGCATCACGCATGTACAATCGGCTGCTGTAAGGTAAACAGCATTTCTGGTGCTAAGCCATCGCGAACAATGGAACACCCAATTTGGACTCCTCGGTGCCGCTTTCTAAAGATTGAGCAAGATTTGGCATCGGTTTTTGCGCGAGATTAGAATAGGCTGTCTACGTAAGATTCCTTTGCCAAGAATAAGGATGATGATGGAGTAAAGTAAACCCAATTCTATATAGTTGGTCAGTTAGATTATCAAAAAATAATGGACTCTTATTTTTGCTTTTGTCAATCAACCAAAAAAACATAGTTAAAGAACGTCATAGTTTGAGAGTGGAGCTCGGGATGAAAATTCTAAGTAAAAATTGTACCAAGACGTCTTAGACTGCATACGTCATGAAACATTTTAGATCAATACATCTCTGTAATATTTTGACTGTGTATAAAGAAACTAACACGTATTTTTTTTCAAATTTAGGTACTTAATAGACAAAGAAAAAAAATTAAGACTACATCCCTCTTTGATATTTTAGGAAAACAACTATAGACTATATTTTTATGAATTGGATATTTGCTCTTTTATTATAATCCTATTTAATGATTATTTATTGTGTGTAGATAAGTAACTAATCTGAGATATACAAAACGACCCTAATTACGGAAAATTGGCCCATTTCCTAGAAATACGTCTGTACATTTATGTATACACAAACCAAAAGAACCATTAACTTTATTGTTTGCTTAATGTTGCATCATTGAATTTCTTCATCTTCAACTCTTTACTAGAAATCAATACAAATCGGGAATTCTTTCAAGTAAAAATCTTCTCTACAAAACTACAAATACTCGTAACAATTTAAACATGTTGATTTTCGGAACTCGGAACATTTTCAGACATACATTTTTTACTTCATGTTATTGGTGTTTTAAAGAAGCTTCTTAATTGCATGTACATCACTAAACTCGTGCATAGATATGAATTCAGGATATAGGTCGAAAACCAGCGAAAAGTATTCCCGCCAAGGGTCAGTTCAAGGCTGTAGGCTGACACTCGACCTAAGTGGATTAACCCCTTTAAAATGCTTGAGCATTGTACGAGTACTTACATCACACCTTGTGAAGTCAGACAATAGTAACAACACCGTATAAAGTATCAGGAAATTCTGACGTGAATGATTGAATGGGTTGTGACAGCGCCTGATAGAAATTAGAAAATACCTAATGAGTAAACAGAATAATTTATTTGAACAGACATAGATACAAGATACTCGTGTTTTTTGTGATGTATAACTGCATACAAACACTAAGAAATTCGTCTAGCTTTGAGATGTCTAATTACGAAGCTAATTGATGATTCTTTCATTGTTACAGGTGGAACTCCAAGCGTGATGCAGCCTCAACCACAGGGTCTCATCGTGGAGACTGGCAATGGCGCCAGTGTCCTCCAGCTGCCGGCCACGACCCTTGAGCAGATCCGACATATTGCGGCCGACCCTGGAGCGTCGACGCTGCGTCTGCCGCCGCCAGCAACCGAACCGCTGGCCGGTGCCCACGAGCTCGACTTCGATCTCTGCTACGTGTGCAAGCACTGCAAAGTAGCCTTCCCGACACCGGCTCCATTGCAAGCGCACCAAGCTCGCTCCTGCTACGCCGGCCGTGAAGCAGCGCGAGGCGTAATCCGTGTGGTCCAGCCTGCGCTAGAATGCCGCACGTGTCCTGGCGAACGGTTCCGCACAGCTCTAGAGTTCCGCAGACATGCGGAAACTGACGCCCACCGCGGCGCTGTGCCGCCTGCGCCCCCGCCGGAGCTCACTCATGAAATGGAGGATGTCGTGAACCAAATCACGCTGTTGGCTGCACGCGCGGCGCAAGAGACGCCCAAAGACCCCGGCACCAACTTCTGCGCGCCCTCACCCCGCTTTCCGCCCAGCGAGCTCCCTCTCGCGAGCGCGGGTCACTAATCCTACACACTCGAAATGTATAGTTACTAACTAGAGCCCCTCGCTCTCTCCGTTGTCCGACAACGCAGCAGTTCACTATTAGCTCTTAACGCTTCTTTACGTTGATGCCGGAAGCGGCACTTTCCTAGTTATATTTAAAGCTTGTAGTTTTAAGTGTAGGTTAAAGCCGGCAAGTCCGGGCGCCGCGCGCCGCGCACTGGGAGGCGGCGGCGGCGGCGGCGGTCGGCCGCGTCCCGGGCCCGCTTGCATATCATACGTTAGACAGGTTTTATTATGTACGTTTACCGTCGCGGGACTCGCGGACGCGGCCGCTCCGCCGCATCTCACCCTCACCATCAACTCCCAGGAAAGCAAGTTCCTATCTTTATGGCATATAATATTATCGATATTGATAATTACGATTTAATTATTGTTTAAAGCTATGTAATACATACATATAATCGTTCTAATTTTAGGCATAGATACGTTCTCGTAAGAAGTTCCTGATGCATCGTAAATGTATGAAGATATATATAGTGATATACGTATATGATTTTTTTAAACGTGAAGCGAAGTTAGTACGTATGTTAGGCAGTAGAGCGGTCGTCCTCTCCCGCGGGCGCCGGACACCCACCAGCGACCATCGGCCTCTCGCCTCGCGCCTTGCGCCTCGCGCTCATCCCGCGCTCGCCTCGCGCCTGCCCTGCGCACGCCTCGCGCGTTCCGCGGAGACGCGACGACACCGCGTAGGCTTATTGGTAACAGTTAATTATAATTATTATTATCGTAGCAACTTTTCCAAAACGAACGAACTCGAAACTCGGGCTGCGCGCCAGCGCCCAGCCTACCTCGCATACAAGTGAGTTTATTTTGGAACTAAGTGTGATTCTTGAATTTTTATTGGTATTGTAATGATTATTAGTAGTGGCATAAGTGAGTGAAGGCATGGAGGTACATGGCGGCGAGCCCGCGCTCGCCCAGCATGTACGTTCATAACTTTACAGTGTGCGTGGAGTCCCTTATATTTTCGATGGCACAGAACACGTTATTTAAAAAAATTACATATTTACATTTTATCTAGCGGAGTGTACTACAATATTTTATCTACGAGTGGATCCTACTACAACATTGAGTTTGTTTTATTTTATAAAGTGCAATGTTTTATTCCACCGGTTGCCGGAGGTCCTTGTTATTTATATCTAGATGTGCAATGAGCTGACGCCCGGTGAATGCGTGACCGCATATTAGCTCTCGGGGGATTCCCTGAGCTTTGAAGTTTTATCAAAAATAGAGCTAGAGACATTTTATCTGAGTAGAGCAAACCTATTATGAAAAAAATCTTGACGGTAATAGCTCTCCAATATCAATCCTAAAATTTTATATGTAACGTCTCATTTTCCATATTATAAGTCGTAACACATTAGACTTGATTGAATATAAAATGTACTGAAGCGCATGAGCCGCGTGCGTCGCAGATCGCGAAGGAGCGCGTCGTAACAACACAATTTCGTTTTTCTTATTGAGGTTTAGTATATTATGCGTAGCTCCTAAAGTTTGTTGAGTGTTATGTTAGGTCCGGCGTCGGCGTCGCTTGGTCGTTCCGTCGGCGTCACAGTGTAGGTGGACGGACGGTAGTTCGTGTTGTCTCCGCGGTCGAATGCCCGCGGAATGAATCATGGTTCCTATGTATATTTCAATATTATCGCATCTAGAGTTTCACTATACTTTCCGAATACAAATTTTAATATTTAAGATTAATTCGGATTAGTCTGTTGTATCTGCTACTGTAACGGTGCCGCACGGGCATGTTGTTTGTTCATTTTATGTAGGCTATGTTTTAGTGTTTTTTCGTATTTAGTTTTAAATTTAATTTGTAAATTCACACTGTATTAACACAATATATTTTGTTATTCAATCGAAATATTTTTTGTACGTAATTCCTCGTCCTAAGCTAAGTGTAATTATGTTGGTTGCGAAATTATAATTTTTTGATGATAATACTTATAAAGGTAGCACTCACGTCTATCATAGTTCCTAATAACTGTATTTGTAATACTAAAAATTATTTTAAAATTCTTTACTAGTGAAATATACCGGTTCCTAAATGTTAAAAACTGTAACGTTATGCGATCAAACTTTTCGATTGTCGTGTTCAGATTGTAATCCGTACATAGTTTTTATTTAATTGTAACGTCGACTTAAGTTCCGTACATGTATCAAAACGTTAAACTTTGCTTAAGAACTAAACGCAATTGTCTAGAAAACAATGATCATGGAGTGCATACAGTATAATTAAAACAACAGTATTCTTACGGAACTAAAGTCGATGAGTCGTCATTTGTTTTGTACTCGTAACGCGTCTATGTATGTTCCATAGATGTTTCCGTAGCAATTAGTTTTGGTTCGTATATGGCATGACGTGCGCGTAGCCAACTATGCGCGAGCTACGCGCCTACGAAAAACACCCGTAGACGACAACAGATTATGAATACATTGTCAAGTGTAAATGGTAAAAATAAACTCAAAGTTAGTTTATCAGACACTGGAGTTTCATTTTTGTCCTGATATAATTGTGAATGCATAAAAGAAGGTTATGAATTAAAAACCAAATTTAGGTATTTATAGATTTTTCAAGTATTATTTTTTAAAAAAAGATTCGACAGAACACAGAAAGGTGTAAGTATTTCTGTGGAAGATACCATCTTAATCAAAGTTCACATTAATATTCTGATAGTTATTTAATGTTAGTATTTTTTTTAATTTTTCTTCAGTTCAATGTCTTCGACATTCAATTTACCTTGCCACGACTTAACTTCGTCACACGTTCAGAGAGAATAATAAAAAAATACATCTCTATGACATCTGTCATCATCTGTCGAGTCATTAGTTTTTGTGACGGATGCCTTCCACACGTTATAATTAAGTTTTTAAGAAAAAAATATTATTTATTACGTAAAACATACACACCAAATTATTAAACATAATTCAAAATCATTGGTTGGCAGTTTGTGCAACAATATGATAAAAATAAAATCAAAATTGGTTTACTATAAACTACAGTGAACCATTCGATAAGTACAGCTGTACTTCCTGGGCCCAAGAGGTGGACTGGGATTGTGTTCTTGAACAGATAGATAATACCAGATAATATTTCTAAGTTCGTAAAGAAATTTACGCTTCTGAATGTCCCAAACTTATATTACCTATCTGTTATCCCAAAACAGCAATATTCTGGTTTCCGTAATGTAGTAATATAATGTTATTCCGGAACCAAATTGAATTACTTTCTTAACGTAATATACTGAATGATATTACCCTGAAAGTTAGTACCTACTTAAATATGGCCTGATCTATTCTAAGAATAGATCAAAATATAATGGTCCTTTAAATTAAACCACAAGAATGTCATTATTGCGAAAATATTGGACAAACAACTATGATCGAGGCCCATTGTGAGAATGGAATATTTGGATCTTTACCAATTGACAAAACGTACTTATAACATTTAAGAAGTATTGGTCTCTAAACATGGGGAAATCTGTATACAAAAGTCCAGGCAGTGATTACTAATATAACAAACCAAAATAGTATCTGACATTCTCTGATGTTTATTTGAAAATGCCTATATACACAACAAAGCAACTTTCTAAGTTAGCAGATTACTAACTTGGGTTAGTAAATGTGGAAATACCATGAAACAGACATTATAAAAAACAATACTAATATTTTCATGATAGTGGCATATTTTCTTTCTCTTTTTATGTATGTGTTACGCTCAAAGATCGAAAACGCTCAGTGAGCGGAAAAATAGCTCACAACGCGTTGTGGTCACAGTAAAACATCCACATCGCGAAATTCGTGTTATGGCTATAATGAAAACGCGCACGACGCGTTGTGGCAATCACAGAAAGACCAAATAGCGAAATTCGTGTCGTGGCTGCCATGCTATTCGATCTCAACGCGTTGTGGCAATGAAGAAAAGTCATGACGCGTATGGAATATTATTTAATTACGACGCACACTACTTTCCGATATGGATCCTACTAGGCCTAGGCTGGAAACGTTTTGGTGTCTTGTCTGTCTTTAGGAAATATTTTATATTTTATAAAATCACTGCATAGCGTCTTTGTCATTATTAAATATGTTATATAATTATATTCATTAAAATAAAACGATATTTGTTATTTATTGAGATTACTTTATATTAAATAAAATCAACATATTAAGTAATAAATTACTGAACACAAAATATTAATCAATTGTAAATTACTTATAATTCACTTAAAATAATTAGGGATTTTAATTTTTTTATGACAATTTAAAATTCTTTCAAGTAATATAAATATTTAACACAAACATAAATGTTTATTGATCACCAATAAACAACAACAATGTACTTAAATCAATTACTTATATTAGAAATTACTATAATTGTGAAAAATAAGTATTTGATTGCTATTTATTTTTACAGGAACTATTACTGTGGTATTTTGAGTTGCATTTTATATTCTTGGAGCGACACTTGCACTTTTTATCAATACATTATCTTTTGCAGTGGCACATTATAAACTCTTTCTTACTTCCAGATGATAACATAGATGCTGAGCGAAGTGTTAATGACGAAGTTGAGGGCACATCACAAAATTTAATAAAGTTGGTTTCGGAAAGTGTAAACTCATTACGAGCATAAAGTCTATCGAATGTACCTTTCTTGTTTCCTAACTGGTAGAGACCTGATGAATTAATGATCATAACAACACACATAACATTCCTGGGCGCTGCACGTCCTCTATCAACTTACAACCTGTCCGTCGTGATATGGTTAAAACAATGAATGCTCAGAACGCGTCATGGCTTTTCTTCATTGCCACAACGCGTTGAGATCGAATAGCATGTCAGCCACGACACGAATTTCGCTATTTGGTCTTTCTGTGATTGCCACAACGCGTCGTGCGCGTTTTCATTAGAGCCATAACACGAATTTCGCGATGTGGATGTTTTACTGTGACCACAACGCGTTGTGAGCTATTTTTCCGCTCACTGAGCGTTTTCGATCTTTGAGCGTAACATATGTATAAAATTATTAGTACTTAAAGGAACTTACCTAAAAGTGGACCTCAACCACAATTATACGAAGTTCAATGTCCGAAGACATTCAATACCCTACCCACCTATATTGCAACAGCACCTAAAATAATCCCTTTAACATAAAATAAGTAAAGTCACCAGCACATAATGTAATACTTAGTTTTAGTTAGACGTATATAACTCAAAATGGCAAAGAAAAAATATTGACGAATCGAACTGTTGACAGTACTTTAAACTCTATAATTAATGACTTGACAGATGGTGATAGATGACAGAGGATATAGAGATTTTTTTTAATATTCTCTCTAAACGTGTGACGTAGGTACTTCGTGGCAAGACTGCAAGGTCTGTCTTCGGACATTGAACTTCCTATAATTGTGGTTGAACTTCACTTTTAGGTAAGTTCCTTTAACCACTAATAATTTTATACATATAGGTACATACAAAGAGAAAGAAAATATAAATATTTCGAGAAAAGGCATGTTATAATGTACTGTACGTGTTTGTTTTGTAGTTTTATTTGCTTTGTTTATTTAATGAAACAAAATATTTTTAAAAAATAACTACCGGACTATAAGGTTAATGAAAAAATAAAATAAAGTAAGTATGGTGGAAATCTACACTGGAGTAAGGCCCTTGCAATGGTTTGTACAAAAAATGGG